AAACGGAATCTTATGAACAAAAAGTTTCTCCTTGTTGTTTTCTCCCACAGCCTAGAGTAAATCTTCTAGCGAAATCCAACATTTATTCCGCTCCCATAAATTCCACGACTACCCTAGAGCATTCTTGTCAAATTCATGGCCCATTGTATTCACTTTGCTTGTTTTCCTTTGATTCCGCCGGGAGCTCCTGGAAGGTGTTGTAGAGAAGCGTATATCGTTTCACCCGGGACTTGAGTTTCCTTTAAGAATTCATCGTCTTTTGCTATTTGGCTGTGAAGGGCAAAGTCGTCCTCTCTTTAAGGAATAATATGAGTGGATCCCTTATAGATTGAAATATTGTGAGGTGGTGGCGCTTTCCGTTTTGTTGTCTTACGATTGAAGTGGATTCCGTAATACGTAAACAAACTCCGTTCGATATGAACAGAATGACGTTTAGGTTAAAAGGGTGAAATGGAGTAACTATGTAGAGTCGAACCCCTCTTTACGGACAACCACTTAATACGCAAACTTCGTTATTACGGACAGTTTTTTGGTCTAAGTTGAAAGAAAACCCTCACATGCACTTTCTCTAAATTAAAAACCACTTATTTCGGACACCCTTAATGCGGCAACGGACACATTTTCTTGCCCAATCAACCGATTCTCATATAAAATAAACCTTGCGGACACTTCCTTTTCCCCTGTGTGCTGTGATAAACCTCACTTTATTTTGAAGATAAAAAAACCTTCAGTTGACGTCATATCGACATTCCCAACGCTGCAACGCACCGAACAGGATGAAGAGAACGGTTCATTTGATTATGTAAGGTATAATGTGCGACTTATCCAGAGTTTTGACTGTTTTCAAGGACATAGTACGCAGAATAAAGGCTTTGGGAAGTTTAGAGATGTTTGGTTAGACAATTCCAGTCTCCTAGCGGTCTTATATCTTTAGTATTTTGTTCAAAAAAGGTGTATTTTCGAGTTAAATTACTTGTAATGACCTGCTAAATACGGACACACCGTTGATACGGACACTTTCTATGGCCCCGTCAGTGTCCGTATTACGAACAGGGTTTGACTGTACACAGTTACTGATATGGGGTACCCAATGAGTGTCCACAACACCATTTGTGCTGGTACCTGGGCACTGACTCCCGGCCAAGCGTGGGCAGACCCTTAGCTCATAGCAATCCATGCAGGACCTAGGACTCGTGTAGTATTTGGTCTTAAGGCCCCGTTGTGTCACAACCTCCATTTGAGGGATATCTAGCCTGCGTAGCGAGCGTTTCCGTTAGGTTTCGGAGCAAAACAAAAGCCAAAAAATGAAAGTGGGGGGAGGGGGAGGGGAAGGAAGGAAACGCTTGCAGACAAACCCCTTGATTTTGAAAACCTGCGTTCGCCAGCGAACGCAGCGCCTGATTAGCTCGGTTAGTCGAACAATGTTGACAAGTGTCGATCAAAGGTTTGTTTCATACTGAGAGGACGGTATGGTACGTGACACGTATATTAATTTTCAGTGGTTGTTGTTTATTCTGGTCGGCAAGATTTGCCCTCCAATGCAAGAACATTTTCTTTGACCTCTATTGAAAGGTAAGGCTCTTCTTGCGACTAAATAAGGGTTTCAGGTCGTTTAATTTAATTTAAAGCGATTTTCGTTTGTTCTGGAATGCAATGGTTTCCCGCAGTGTGTCATGCTGGGCCCAGTTCGTTGGTGTTTTTTTTAGGGATGTTGAATTCTCTCAGACGGTGATTTACAGACTGTTCTGTTAGGCGGATTAAAAAGACAAATGTCCAAAGCCTGTATTGATCGTTCGGATTCATTGATATTTCAACATAAACGCCGTCCACGTGTTATTGGGTTCACTTACGCGTCCTCTGAAGTTCCTTTCCGCTCCACTGAAAGCCAAACATTTTATCGGTCAATGATGACAGCTGATCAAATGTCGGTGCGCGAACTCAGGCATGACAAGCCAAGTGGGTGGTTTTCAAAATCCCGGGGTTTGTCTGCAAGCGTTTCCTTCCATTTTTCCCCACCCCCTACCCGCTCTTTTACTTGCGCCATTTTACGCACGGTCTTTGACTCTCGTTCCTCGTTCTTTGCTCCTAAACCGCACGGAAACGCTTGCTACGCAGGCTAAGGGATATCTTAAGAGGTCATGCGGCAACCGGAAGAAAACGCCGCGAGAACAAGAAGAGGGGAAGCCCCACGGGGCTAATTGCCGCCAGCTTGCAGGTTATCTCTCTACTCGCCTCGCTCGCCGCTTGCTCGCACGCTCTTGAGAACCAAGCTTCTGTTGTTTGGTGTGTCATTAATGAGTTTTAGCGTTGCTTAACTCGAAAAGATACCGACGCGAAAGCAATAGCCTTCTGTGCTAATCAGCTTGGTATTACTGTGTCTTCAGACCATATAAGCCGTTCCCACCGTACTGGCCGTAGTTTCGAAAACGAAGCACTCGAAAACGAAGACCGAAGAACGAAGCACCCAAAACTCGAAAACGAAGCACCCAAAACTCGAAAACGAAGCACCCAAGATCGAAAACGAAGCACTCAAGATCGAAAACGAAGCACCCAAAACTCGAAAACGAAGCACCCAAGATCGAAAACGAAGCACCCAAAACTCGAAAACGCAGCACCCAAAACTCGAAAACGAAGCACCCAAGATCGAAAACGAAGCACCCAAAACTCGAAAACGAAGCACCCAAAACTCGAAACCACTGTAGACTGTACGTCTTGCATGACGCAATCCGAATCAGGTGGAGACAGCGGATGCGTCCGCACCTCCAAAGGGCCACAAAATCCATCCCAAGGTTTTATAAGAGCCTGCCAACTGTTTAACTGAACGTTTCTAGATGGGATATAATGTATTAATTTTATTATTGGTCTCGCTATACTTGATACATCTTACCTTAATATGCTTTTTTTCGGTACGCATGCATGTTTAAATAGACTTCAAAACTGTCGGTCAGCAGATTTTGGCGTATTCAAGTACGCGTGAGCAGTAACACAAAAGGTCTGAAACGAGGCTGAAAACGGAGTTTGAGGCTCGCGCGTGTTACTCTTACGCCACGCTTTACCGACTTCTTTACTGATTTTGAGAAAAAAACCGACTGTTTTGCAGTCTACCATATTGGATAGTTATGACACTGCGTGATCAGATCAGATCAGATCCAGGCAGAATTTGTTCGAGGGTAATAGCCTGGGATCAGGCTCTATGGTGGGGAACCGGAGAATTTTAAAATAAAAGGAGCGAATAAAAAAAGGAGAGTTAAGCTACTGAGAAGGCAGTCGGTGGGGCGAAGCCTGGAGATACGCTTTTTATGCCACCGATCCACCCTTAACTACACTAATTTGCAAATGGCCTTTAACGAGGAATGGAATGGAAAACGCTCATCATTTTGTACGGGGATACTTGCTGTAATTCCCGATCCCATGCACACAAGAATCAGTACAACTATACTACCGACATTCTGCATTTTTATTTTTGGCAAAATGGAACTGGAAGCTCCCTATTTCTGAAGCCCACCACAGACGCCAACAGCTGTGTATAATTTTCCTTTCTTGACCATTTTAAAAACAACAGTAACAAAAACAGTAACAGCAAGTAGCAGCACACAAAATCACAGTGGTGGTTTTAAAAATGTGTTATTGAAAGTTGATTGACATCATCCTATTCAAATGTACAAAAAATCAGTGCGGGCACCTCGCACAAACAAAACTGTAACTGTAACAAGGACAATGTTTTCCGATTGTTTAGACCTAAAAAGTCACGTATTCTACTTGTAAGTATCCATTCTTCAGTTGGCTCTCTGCTTTCCTGGTTCTTGCACCTTTAAGTGGAGTGGTGACACAATGAGTGCAATTTTTGAAAAACGCTACTGAAGTAACGACAAACACGCGTGACAATGATCTAAATCTGGTTTCGGTAGTCCATAACTTATCTACACATGTTTTCTAACAATGGTAATCCGCTGTATATTGGTTAGCTACAGAATATTAGAGACCTTTAGATTCGAGGACGAGGACGACTACGAGTACGAGATTTGACTTGAAGTCAAATTATAGACTCTCCGGAAAGCTTCATTTTACCATTTTTCACTAGTGCAGGAGGTTTTTCACCCCACTGGAACTTAAGCGTTGCCAAATCCAGCGGCATAGCGCGTCAGATGTGTTCACCTCATCTTTCGTGTAGGGAAATAGTTTCAAAATTCCTGTTCCTTTCCCACCGCAGAGTTGGGGAACGGGATGAGTGTCAATGAGAAACATGCAATCGTTTGTAACGCCAATAGTAAAAATAAATGGGGCAAAGGTGTAAATGGCTCTTTCTTAGATAACATTGAAGACAGGGCATTCTTCAGTGCTTTTCTTCCCTCGTGGGAGAAAACATGATCGTGACTCAATAATTCCTCATAAAAGTCATATTTGTCAACTGCACCTATGCTTCTTAACAGGACATAGGCTGACTGGACGTCCTAAAACTCTTCGATGTTTCTGTACGGATTAATGGCAAAGGGTAAGTCAATAATTATGCGTTCTGCTTCCGCGCAGACGTTCTCCACAAATTGCTTGTCATCACATCTACCTTCCTGAAATAGACGGTAAATTTCATTAGCGATTTTGATGCTTAAAAACGCACATGCATTGGTGCCGTCGTTTTCTGGCTGTAATAAGGCATTTTCAGCATCAAACTCCCCTTTCTTTGCAACAACCCTTGCCACTTCACGGTCGAACTCCTCCAGGGACGTTGCCTGGCTGTTCTTCAAGTGTATTTGAACTGAAGATGCAGTAGGCTCATTCCCGATCAACGCAACAACTTCTTCAATGGTTGGCCTCTCTTTAGGAGTGAAATTGATACAGGCTTTTGATATACGTTCAATGAAATACCAGTCCACAGCATGCTTGTGCTGGTATTTCAGTGGCTCAGCAGGTATTTTCCTCTGAGTCATAAGCTTTTCCAGTCCTTTAAGAGCCGATTCTCCGTTCTCCAAAAAACACTTTAGTTCTTGGCTGTACGGGTACTTAACACAGGGATTCAAAAGCACAAACAAAGTCATCCCCAAAGCCCAAATGTCGACCCTCTTCAAGTCTTCAGTTGTGGCGACTTGCAAACGTGTTGTTCCGTCAAGGATTTCGGGAGACATATATACGGGTGTGCCACGATTTACACGGCTGGTTTGCGATGTGAGGAGGGAATTAGTCTGGAATTCCTTCGAGCGGCTTTCACCGAAATCAGTCAATTTACAGACTACGGGGCTGTCACTCCAGGCTCGAGTGATATCATCAGCATGCAGATCACAGTAATGCTGATTGCTGACTAAGATGTTGGCCGGTTTTAAATCCCGGTGGCAAAGATCAATGCCATGGAGATAATGTAGACCAGTCACAATGTCCTTGCATATATAGTGCTGAACACGTGTGGGCCATCAAAACCTTCACAGTCAAAACTATCGAGAATGGCGACAAAGTCCGCAAGCGAGCTTACCACCGTTTCCAGTCCGAAGGGTTTAAAGTCAAAATAAACATGTTCTAAAACGAGCGCAAAAGGATTGTTACAGATACCCTTAAAGCGGACTATGTTTTGATGTTTAAGTCCCTCAAGGATCCTTGCCTCTTTGACAAAGGTTTTTTTGTCTTGTAGATCCTCACCTAGCATCTTCTTCACGACAACTTTCTCCGGACCCTTGCTGAAAGGGTAGTCAGCCGTAAAAACTGCTCCATACGCACCTTTTCCTATTTCCTCTTTGTTAAACAACTTCGAAAAGTCGTAGACAGGTAGTCCAGAGCAATCAACAGTTGTTCTTGGTTTGACAAGAGGCAGTTTAAACGCCATTATCAAAACTCGACTCAGCGCATCCCGACACGAGACTCAGAGAGACTGATCTAACTTGCGCAATATTTTAAAAAATTGCAGAGGTGTGAAAAAGGCAACGTGACCAGTGGTGAAAGTGTTAAAAACAAATCTCACTCTTAAAACTGGTCCTCATTAGTGCTGCGTTTTTTATTATTCAGTGAGGCGCCCGGGTGGGGCGGCGCAGTTCAAATAGATAAAAAGCATAAAAAAATCAAATGGCATGTAACAAACAACAATATCGTCTCAACTAAAACAACGTGTAAGCAACGCATTAAAATTCATACAAAATTTCAACTACAACAAAACGAAAATCAATTTCCATTGGTGTTTGCGATTTTCTCACATCTGATTAGTCCCCCACGCAGCCGTGACTAGACAAAGAACGGCTGTGTGTAGGAGACTAACGCCTGATTGGCGTTTACTGGCAATACAGTAACATTCTAGAAATAGTTTGCGCGTTCTCGGTTTTCTGATCACGTCGAAAACATAGCCTCCCACCGGGCCTCCCACGCAGCGGCGGAAATGCATTTACAACTTGAGTAGATTTGAACTGCGTTCGATTCGTTATCGAATACTCGTTATCGCTCTTGATTTCTGCTGTATTTACAATGGTCTCGTGTTTATAAAGGACAGACCAGTGTCGAGTTTTTTGGGTGCTTCGTTTTCGAGTTTTGGGTGCTTCGTTTTCGAGTTTTGGGTGCTTCGTTTTCTATCTTGGGTGCTTCGTTTTCGAGTTTTGGGTGTTTGAGAAGATTTGAACTGCATTCGATTCGTTATCGAATACTCGTTATCGCGCTTGATTTCTGCTGTATTAACATTGGTCTCGTGTTTATAAAGGACAGACCGGTGTCGAGTTTTTTGGGTGCTTCGTTTTCGAGTTTTGGGTGCTTCGTGCTTCGATCTTCGTTTTCGAGTGCTTCGTTTTCGAAACTACCCCGTACTGGCAAGAGAGGTCGTACACCCAGGCCGATCATCGTTCAACTTGTGCACTATGACATGAAAGTTCAACTGCTACGTAAGCGTTGGGAATTAGAGGCTCGAGAAACTAACTTCGACATTCAGGAGGACTTGACACAATGCCGTCGTGACATTCTACATTATCTTCATAAGTCTGGACCATCGATGGAATTATTTTTGTGAGGCCGACGTCCCGTTCCTCAGTGATTGAGAAATGTACTACTCTCTCTAAATGCCGCGAGATTGTGAACAAATAATTCTAGCCAGTCAGCTACTGAAGCTAACTCTGCTTTGTCACGCAGGTACTCTTTACAGAAGTTAACTTTGTTTTGTCACGCAATGTATTCTATTAGATATCTTGAGGTATCAAGATTACGATTGTTTAGCTCTCTGCATAATTGCTGCCTTGTTGCTTACTTTTATTTATTAATTTATATTATTTACTTGTTTGTGTATTTCTTGCTTACTTATTTACTCTTGTTTGTTAACACTAACATGGCATTAATTTTAGTAGTAGTAGTAGTAGTAGTAGTAGTAGTAGTAGTAGTAGTAGTAGTAGTAGTAGTAGTAGTAGTAGTAGTAGTAGTAGTAGTAGTAGTAGTAGTAATAGTAATAGTAATAGTAATAAATTGCTTTAGTTTGGGAGTAGTGAGGAGTAGGAGTAGGAGTAGTAGTAGTAGTAGTAGTAGTAGTAGTAGTAGTAGTAGTAGTAGTAGTAGTAGTAGTAGTAGTAGTAGTAGTAGTAGTAGTAGTAGTAGTAGTAGTAGTAGTAGTAGTAGTAGTAGTAGTAGTAGTAGTAGTAGTAGTCTTATGCCTATTAAGTACCCATGTACTGTGTGTAAATTAAGTGTCCGTAATAGTCACAAAGCCATTTTATGTGACATATGTCAGAACTGGACACATTTAAGTGCACTCCTTTTACATGTGACGAATGCATTGCTTTATCTAATACTAACGAAGATTGGTTCTGCTGGTTTGTCTTGCCACTCTATTTCCATTTAACCATTTTGAAGATGATACTGATTCCTTCTTTGCACTGTTCGACTTTAATTTTGAAGGAAAGTTGTTAAGCAAATAGTGTTTAATCCCTTTTTTGATGACCCTGAGACATCTGATCTGCTAATAAACTCTAACCTTGATCCTAACCCCAATTTTTTTACCGCAAATTCAGAAGTACTTTCGAACTGCATATGTCTAACCTCTTCAGAATTTAACAAAATTCCTTTTCCTCCTGCTTTCCATAATATATAGATTTAGCCAGGGCTAAAAGCGAAGCTCTCGTTAATAAATTCATAATTTAAATCAAACAATAAACTTGTAATCCACAGATCAGGGCACATTCATTTGACTTTTGAGGCAAAGGCTAAGTGATTTTAGAGAAAAATAAGTTGACAGTCCAAGAGTGAAACAAATTTTACATCGAATTATTAAATAGTCTTATTTGTACACTCAAAAATAGCAATCATGTTCGATCACAGTAGATTAGGCCTGAAAAACAAATAGACCTTTTCGAGTATTGTATTTGCATTAGCTGTTGTATCATAATGTGGTATTCACCTGTCTCTCCAACATTGCTCCGTTAGAGAGACTATGGATAATAATATAATGTTAAGAAACACACGCGCCACGATAGTCCTTGGTGGCAGCCAATTTACACGGTGCATTCCTCTGTCTGAAAGAGAGGCCAAAATAAAAATTAGGCCGGATTTTTTGTGTTCGGCAAGTTTAGGTTACTAGTAAATCTTGGCGACGAATCTGGTGGCGCGTAAACCAGCCTTTTAAACATACTTTTTCTCATCACATCTCAGGTAAACAGTACTATGAGGCCCTTTTTCATCATACAGACCTCGGACAGAATTTTTTCTTTTTTGCCCTATTTAAACGTATAATTCTGCAGTTTTTCACAATTTTGCGAGAGAATTTGCACTCATTCAATATCCACGATGATCAAAGCACGCTCTTCGTTTGCACAACAAATTATCGCATTGAATTATAAAACGTTTTCATGAAGAGAATTCTATAATGCCGGGACTTTTCAGTTAGAAAAATCTGGTCCTATGTGATATGCAGGGTAATAATTACGGGCTTTTAATGAAAACGATAAAAAAAAATCCCAAAATCACTTTTCGGCCAGCCGGACGGGTTCTCACTTTTGACAGGCACCAAATTTGCAGTGCGATTAATACAGTTACCATTTACGCTTCAACATGATAGAGAAATTGTTATGTTTAGGTTTTATTTCCCTTTATTTGTTTAACTGTGTATGGCTTTGTTATGTGTAATCTTTAAAAGCGAGTGATATTTACGCGCGGCGTTTTGAGTGTCCTGCATGCGATGTATATGTTCGACTGGAAACAACCGGTGCAGCGATAAAAATTGCGAGAGGGACTACAAACAATCAATAAAATAAATATAGTTCGGTGAAACATGTACAGAGACAATAATTTTCATTCACGAAGAGAAGTATTGAGTCAGAATTGAGAGTAAAGTGTCTCTGAAAATCATGAGTCAGGTAAGCATAAGCTTATTTATGTTTGAAGCGGGCTTCCCGGTGTTTGCTCTTTTTCAAGATGAACTCGAGGCCAGAAAATCGCTCAGAGCTTTCTGTTTACAGCCAAAATCATAACTAAATAATCTTCGGAACCTTTTCTTTGAATTTGCGGTCAAAAAATGTCTAAAGGCTTTTTAAACCTGATACTATCAGGTAGGTTAGATCATTGCTCGTGTATAAACTTAAGCCGCATAAACCATACACTTGACTTCAAGAAACCGGAAAAAACACATCAAAGACAATAATTGCTCAGGCTTACCAGTCGAGATGCTGCTTCTGAAGGTCATCAAGTGTTCCCGAATCGCTTGAGACTTTTCAACCCTCTTGTGCCTCAAGCAAAGGCAAGTGAGTAAGCTCGTTTTTGAAAACGATGCCATCCGAAATCGGAATTCCAATGACTTTGACAAACGGTGCATTTGTCAACAAAAAGCGCAATAAACAAACCAGCCATGAATTACAGAACAATCTTGATAGCAGCTGTATTTCATTTTGTACACCAAGTAGAAAAAGACAGTTTAAAACATCACAAGATGACACAAAACTCTGTCGGGTCCAGCTATCAGTAAGCAAGTTACCAGACGCTGCATAAATTTTCCGCATGAACTCACCTGTCAAATTTTGACCAATCAGAACATAAAAATTGGACGTAGAGCGTGATCAACGCGTGAGAGTGAGAAAAGTCAAAAGTGATTGCCTTCCCTGCTTGTAAATGCAAAAGACGGTTGAATTTTCGCGTCCGAGGTAAGTTCGAAATCAACATTTAAAAGTGCGGCTCATGTACACGACTTATTTCATATGCACTTTAAAAAAATTGAACTTGAGCCTGCGATCATTCGAAAAGTAGAAACTTGTCAGCGGATACCTTATAAAAAACACTCGAACTCAGTGGGTCGATAACCTGAGCCCGCGATATGGTCAGGCGATACTGGCCAGCAGAAACACTATTTTGACAGCTGTCAATTAATCAAAACATGGATGTACAATATCAGGTTGCAGACTCCCAAACTAGCTAGAAAGTGTGAGATTAAACATTGGTATGCCTGTGGTGCGGACGGACAAAAGGTCGAGTGGTCGGTGTACGGTCACGTGATTCCCGAATTTTTTAGGAGGGATAGATTTTCTAAGCCATGGGGCTTCGAATTGAGCCCGTGATCAAATAAAATATCAGCGCAAAACTTTATGCACCACGTGACCTCAATGGATAGAAAAATGAGCCCGCGGTACACTCAGGTAATGATCGTCAGCGTCTACTCTAGTTTGACAGCTGTCAATTAACCTTCATTAGGATGGCGAATATTCGAATTAACAGACTACGAGTGTGGGTAAGACATATCCGTCCGGCATGTATTGGAAAATGCCAGATCGTGTACATGACCAAACCTGAGCTCACGTTATTAGTTTTCTGATAGTGGTCTGCACATGTCCCATTTTGACAGCTGTCAATTGACCTTAATTTGGCTTGCCAATATAACTGTAAACGACTGTCAGCCAACTGACAGCCTTGCCCGGCGTAGTTTCGTTTTTATGCTGAATTGGTAAGTGTGACATGTTATATTAGCTTATATGTATGGGCAAAACGACTGGTCTTTCACCTGAGCCCGCGAGATGGTCATGTGATAACTTTCAGCGGATGTCTGATTTTGACAGCTGTCAATGTAATCGTACTCATACGGATGGCTTACATAACTAAGACGCTAGTCAAGTTGTGCAAGATCTATTGTGACATTTGACATCCGCTTACATGAAGTGTGTGTACGGTGGGTGTACAGTTGGGGGAGTGGGTGCACGGGTGGGCGGGCGGGTGTACGGGTGGGCGTACTCTACGTCATAACCAAACTTTCTCTGATGGTTAGTTTATCAAATTGTTTTACCCATGGTGCTCCGCTATTAATATCCGTGGCCTACCTAAACACTTTGACGACTTGTCGGAATATCCTCTCTCTCTTAATATGTTGTTCTCTGTTGTTGCCGTTTCTGAAACCTGGTTACATAAGTCTAATCCTGATCTCTTTAATATTCCTGGCTACCATTTTATCTCCAATTCAAGAGAACATAAATTAGGCGGTAGAGTTGGTCTTTACATTCAGTCTGATATGAATTTAAAGCTCAGGAATGATCTTCAATCTTCTGACAATTCATTGTACGAACCAGTCTTTGTGGAAATCTTGCGACCTCATGGTAAAAATACTATTGTTGGCTGCCTCTGTAGACCTCCCGATGCCTCTCTTAATGACTTTAACAGGTCTGTTAAAGATATCTTGTCAGCCATCAGTTTTGAGAATAAGCTATCTTATATGGGTGATTTTGATATCGACATCCTCAACTCTCATTCATGTTCTAAGCCTCACCGCTCTTCAAAACCCTGGTTCTCAAATGGTCTCTTTACTTCTTGTAAAAAGAAAAATTCTCTTTACAAACAGTTCCAGTTAAACCCAACTGCACTCAACAAGTTGAGATACAACAAATACCGTAATAAATACAATTTTCTCATCAAACTTGCCAGGAAAAAATTCTTCCATGACAAACTGCTCTCTGTCAGTTCAGATTTAAGAAAGACATGGTCAGTCATAAAACAGATTATCTACTAAAAGGAACCTGAGCAACGTTTCAATAACATCAAAGATAGTTCTGGTTCATACTCAAATCCTACTCAGATAGCTACAAAGTTTAATAATTTCTTGCTAATGTTGGTCCTTCTTTGGCAAATAAAATCTCTCCCAATCAAATTACGTATAGAGAGTTTCTGATTGGTCATTACGCAAAGTGTTTCTATCTTAACCCAACTTCTCCCACTGAGGTTGCTAATATAGTCCATTCTCTAAAAAATAGTAAATGTGAGGGTTTTTATGGCCTCTCTATTTCGCCTGTAAAAGATACTATTGATTTAATAGCTGCCCTTTGACCCATATCTGCAATCTGTCATTTTCTCACGGTGTTTTTCCAGATAAGCTCAAAACAGCCAAAATCCTTCCCATCTTCAAATGTGATAACTCGTCCTTGTCCTCTAACTACAGGCCTATTTCTATTCCCCCCTGTCTTTCCAAGGTCTTCGAAAAACTCTTTTACTTCAGATTGTCTGCATTTCTTGAAACATTTGACATTCTTAGTCACCATCAATATGGCTTCAGACCACATCATTCTACAACTATGGCGATCCTCGAATTTGTAAACAATATATATGAAGGCTTTGAAAGTAATGAATATAATACACTATTGGAATTTTCTTAGACCTCAAGAAGGCATTTGATACTGTAAATCATCAGATACTTATTGAAAAATTAAACTTTTATGGTATCCGTGGTATTCCACTAGCTTGGCTCACCAGCTATTTAGACAACCGACAACAGTATGTTATGTTCAATGGTCATGTTTCTTCTAATAATACTGTTATGTGTGGGGTCCCTCAAGGTTCTGTTCTTGGCCCTTTATTTTTCCTCTTATACATTAATGATCTTTTTCTTTCTTTAAATTATCTTTCATTTATTGTCTTCGCTGATGACACCAATATTTTTCTTCGTTATAAAGACCTGGCTACTTTAGCTAGAATGGTTAATCAAGAGCTTTCTCATGTCTCCTCCTGGTTTAACGCAAACAAGCTCACTGTTCATCCTGATAAATCCAAATTCATCATCTTCCATCCAGGACGTAAATAATCAGTGAAAGATTCCGGCAATTCTACTTTTTTACAAAAGGTCAACTCTGCGAATTAAAAACAGCAGAAAAACTAAGTTTCTGCATTCATTTTTGTAGAACAAAATGCATAATTGTTACCTTCTTTGTCTATGCTTGTCGTTTAGGTTAAAAGTTAAGAAAAGGTACCTTTTTTGAAAAAGAAGTCAGGTATTTTCAGCTTTCAAGTGAATGATATTTTGACGTCAATATTGTCCTCTCTTAATCCATTTCTCACTTTACCAAACGATGTTTTAAAGCGCAAAAGAGGTACCTTTTTTGGGTTTCAAGCGATCGGCTCATGAAAAGCACAAAAAGGTCCCTTTTTTCCAGTTGGAAGAGATGTTCTCAAAAGCGCCAAAATGGTACCTTTTTTCCAGTTGGAAGTGATGTTGGTAAAAGTACAAAAAAGGTACCTTTTTTAAAAATATAAAATAGTGTTTTCAAGCTTTTGGAAAGCCAGTCAAAATCCTACTGATTGACATATGTCAACCGTTGGCACCTCTTGAGCTTCAATGAACTATGCACAGACTTTTTTTAGGGGATTCTAGGTAATCCTGTTAAAATTGAAATGATCTATAAGAGGAATCAGCGGAGTGAAAAGTTTTAGCTCGATTCTTTTAGCCAAGATCAAAAGCGAGAAACTAGAAGAAATCGGAAAATACTAGCCACCGCCAAATGGATAAAATGGCTCCTGAAAATGTAACAACTTCTGGTACTTTAAAACTAGAGGCAAAAAGAGAAGCTCAGCAAGCGCAATTTTAAGCATGGAGCAAATACTTTAATCTGAAAGAAGACCTACATGTAGAGCAAAAGTGTTCATTTTCCTTTTCCTTTAAGTCTAAACTAAGCGGGTTCCCCAGCGGGTCATTTTAATAACTGTCTTGTTTCGTGGGTGATGTTTTTCACTTCAGAAAGGTTATTAGAGACTTCGGTCTTCGGGTTATTTTTTGTTTGCTATTATATAAATTATATATTAGATAAAAAAACTTCAGGTGCTTTTTGAGCTACAGGCTGAAGTAAAACCATTAACAGTGAAAATGCCACCATACATGTACCTTTGACACCCCCTAACTAAATACTAAATTAAGCCTGAACAACTTTCCTCTTCTCAGACTTTTTGTACAGTAAGCCAGCATTTTTTTCCGAGAACTTTGGTAATTTTCCGGAATTTTTTTCAGACATAATGAATATTAGAAATTTTCAAATAGAAATTAAACTCTCAAAAGTCAAAATAATAAAAAAATTCAAATGCCACTGTTTAGACAATTGTTTGTTTGGTGCATTAAAGTTATTAGCATGCATTCTTGTTGTTTTAACACTTACACGTACTATCATCGCGTCATCGCCCATTTTAGTGAATTTTTTTAGGGTGAGCATGTTATTCGAAAAAATGATGGAGCATTAAGGTAAAGCATGTTAGCGAGAAAACAAAAAAGAGTTTTACTAAATGCACAAGAGACTGGCCCGGCTTCTCTTCAGGTTACTTATAACTGACACCTGTCATTCATTGATAACCACTGAACCAGTGACAATGCTTCCAGCTTCACTCCGACACTGATCAAGATGGCTCAAAACCCATGGCAAAATCAAGCACGGGGAATAGATTTTAAAACTGTGACCTGACACTGTCACAGTGTCAAGCTCAGCAACTGTTTTCAAACTTGGCCAACAAACGGGGAATATTTAACTCTTGACTAGTGGATTAGTAAATTGAGACAAAAAAATTCATAAAATCACACCAAACGGTTGACATCTGTCAATCCATGGCTTGAAAACACTATTTTACATTTTTTAAGACTTTTTAAAAAGACTTTTAAAAGGTACCTTTTTCGCACTTTTGAGAACATCACTTCCAATTGCCAAGGTTTTTCGCGCTTTTGAGAACATCGCTTCCAACTGCAAAAAAGGCACCTTTTCGTGCCTTTCATGAGATCGCTTGAAACCGAAAAAAAGGTACCTCTTTTGCGCTTTAAAACATCGTTTGGTAAAGCGAGAAATGGTTGAAGAGCGGACAATATTGACGTCAAAATATCATTCACTCGAAAGCTGAAAATACCTGACTTCTTTTTCAAACAAAAGGTACCTTTTCTTAACTTTTATCCTAAAGGACAAGCATAGAGAAAAAAGGTAACAATTTTTCATTTTGTTCAACGGAAAATGAATGCAGAAACTAAGTTTTTCTGCTGTTTTTAACTAACAGAGTTGACCTTTTTGTAAAAAAGTAGAATTGCCGGAATCTTTCACTCATTGTAAACAGATCAATTCTTCAGAATTAAACATCTTAATAGATAACACCCCTATAGGCCGGGTACAGGAACATAAATTTCTTGGAATAATTATTCACGAAAGCCTTTCATGGAAACCGCACATCACTTCAATCTGCGATAATGTCGCTAAGGTCATAGGAATTTTGTCTAGATCAAGACGATACTTACCTTCGGTCACTCAAAAACCTTATATAATTCCCTAGCCTCTTTCTACCTTATATCAACTATTGTAACCTCATCTGGGCATCTACATATGCCTCCTACCTTGAACCCCTCTATCTACTCCAAACGAAAGCCATTCGAATTATCACCTTTTCTCCTCCAACAACTCGTTCTAAGCCTCTTTTCTCGAAGCTTAATATTCTTTCTCCCCATTCACACATTTCACGTTTCTTGTTTTGTATTCTCACACTTTAATCGCCTTTTACCTGCCTCTCTTTCCTCGCTCCTCCACTCTAATCGTGATTTTCATGATTATCTAACTCGTTCTCGTTTCAACTTGCATAAAATGTCCCTCAGGTATCAATTTGCTATTAGTTCTGAAGCCCCGACCGTATTTGGAACGATATCCCCTTGACTGTCCGTGACAGCCTTGCCACTACTAACTTTAAAAAGAAACTAAAACTCCCCGCTTTGGCTTTACTGAGTTTGTACTACATGAGCGATGGAATAATAATAAAACTAAAGTTAAGTTAAGTTAAAACCTTACAGCTATTTTAAACACTATACGCATTTCATTACTCCTAACTGTATATTGTTACCCTAGGATTCTAACTAATTCACTTCTCCTAAACAATCATTTCTTTATACTTTGAAAATGTGAATAAAAATGTATTTTAATGAGTAACGATGTCTTTGAGACATCTTTTTACATTTCCATTACATTTCTTTTTCGCGTTTTTTTTTTTTTAAAACCATGAATTTAAAGTGATAACCTCCCCCTTAAGTTCGGGTATACTCTGAACTAGTCGTTCGATCTTATCCTTTGAAGCGGGATCTATTCAGTAACCTAACATTTATCGCTGTCTGTCTATTCGAAATGCCTATTTTCTTTTTCCGTTTGCTGTATACAGACGACTATTCGGCAACTCATACTTTACCGTTGGATTAATGGTAGCCGAAATTTATTCTTTCTGGACATTCTCTTCTCCTTTCCACAAAGCAGTGGCGTATTTCCTTCCCTGCCTTGCCACAAGAATGCATTCTATTAACTCCTCGTTAAAGTCAAACGGAATCTTATGAACAAAAAGTTTCTCTTTGTTGTCTTCTCTTAGAGCCCAGCGTAAATCTTCTAGAGAAATCCAGCAAATCCCTCGCTTCCACATCCCAAGACAAACCTCAACGGTTTTATCACCCCATTCCCAATGCATAGCCCGTTGAATCCACTTTAGTTGATTTCCTTTGATTCCGCCAGGAGCTCCTGGAAGTTGTTGTAGAGAAGCGTATATCATTTCATCCGGGATTAGAGTGTCCTTTAAGAATTCATAGAAGTCTTTTGCTATTTGGCTGTGAAGGGCAAAATCGACAAATTCTCTTAAAGCAATAATATGAGTGGATCCTTTATAGATTGAAATATTGTGAGGTGGTGGCACCTTTGGTATGTTTGTTCTTTTACGAACAGCGTGGCCTTTCAATATGTGAACAAAATTAACTCGATAGGAAAAATGTTCAGGCATTGGAGAACTTATTATGTTGTTGGTGTTGTTGAGACCTTGTAACGCTCGTACAATCTGCTTGTTATCATATAGAGGAAAATCCTGTCCCACTAAACTAATGTAATATTTCCATCTAACTGGTGATTTCAGCAACTCTTCCATGCAACTGAACTGAGCTTCAACTAGAGTAATATGTCCCCAGACGACGTCAACACTGTTTGCTGCGATAATAACATTTGAAAGGCATCGTGTAATGGCCATTATTGCTGCACGGAAGACCTCTGACGCCTTTTTATCTATATGAATGCAGTAGACATTGTTTGGCATGTAAATAGCTCGAAGAAGTCGCTCAAACAGACAAGCACCTTTATAAACAGTCAAACCGAAAGCGATTGGTAGCTGCTCTTCTTCTTTTGACACAGGAGGATGAACAAAATGAGTTTGTAAAACACACGCGCAATCTTGATCAAGCCTGTAGATACCCAGAATTTCTGAGTCATTCCGTAAGGTTCCAGCCTTGTTCAGTATTTGTTCTCCAGATATAAGCCTCTTGCACCTTTCCCACTTGAATTCCTACAACAATTATTGTCCCAAGTTACACATATGACCCTGGTATATGGTATTATAGTATATTGTTGTCTCTCTGTTTTTTTAGTGGTTGGAGCGCTCACTTGTGTTTGGGAGTTTATAGGTTCTGAATTTTTGTCGGAAAATCTACTCTCGTGATGATATGACGATTCCTGCATAATTAAAGGGTCCGTAAAGCGTCTGAAAATATGGGAACGATTTCTGCCTTTTTTCATCCAAGTGACCTCAAAGTTTGCAGAATGACAGAGAATCATGAGTATTTTGGGCTATATTATGATCGCTATCTACATTAATACCGTCTGGGGTCTATACAAGCAAGTGGAGAGAAGATTAAGAAAAAAATTGTATCATTTTCATTCCTTACCTCTTCCTGAAGCGAATGATAATATGCTCGCACAAT